GCTGGATCACTTTTTCGGCGTGGTCAACAACATATGGCACCTTTTAAGCCTTTCCTGAAAATTTCCTTGAGTCAGCATGAGATTTGATCGGGATATAAGAATTTTAATTTTTCCTAGTAACAAGCGAAAAGCCGGGTTTTCATAACAATGCCTGAAGTTATATTCATTTCTACACAAAAATAAATGTTACCACTATGCTCAGCGTAGTCGATTACCTATAGTCCATGGCATTTTGAGATTCCCAGAGATGTCTGCTCGGAGATAGACACGTGCTCGGGGAAAGCGAGCCCTGCCCGAACAACGATAGCTAGAGAGCCGGGACTTGCATAATTTCGTAGAGTAACGTCCGAACTATCTACACATGCAAAAAGGTTACTAACATTGTATGTTAGTTTTCTGAGAACGGAGCTGGTTTTCAAAGATCCTCTGAAAACCCGATCTCTGGAATTTTTTCAAAAGTTGCTTCCACTTGTGAAAAGTTCTGCTCAAGTCTTGGCTATTGAACAGCGAAAATCGCTGTCCTCTATCTCATTCCTATCAAAAGTTATTCAAAAAATGCTCACGGGTCCTTTATTTTGGGATGGATAGTAGGTCAAGTTTCAGCTTCACAGTGTTTGAAAGCTGTAGCTTTTTATCAACTTTGGTCTGAAAGTTTTCGGAGAAACAGTTATTTCAAAATTGAAAAAGTGGCATTTAAAAGGGCGCGGAAAAACTGCAACTTTTTATTGGACGACATAAAAACACTACGTCTATCATCAAAATTATATCAGCACTGTGCTTGTAATACATATAGAAGCAGCCTTGTAATCAACATGCCACGTAACAACAGCATTCGTTTACAAGAAAAAATGTGTCATACATTTTCCTTTTCTTTTATATTCTCATAGTTAGTCACCACGAATGATTCACTCACCCATAATAATTTCAAGTGCTGTTAATATATCGACTTTTTATCTTAAAGCGATGTTTTTTTCGTGACGGTATCGAAATAAATCATAAATGAATGAAAGAAACAAAAACTGAATCACCGTAAAGATTTACGAACACTGTACCCGATCTTCACTGTGTCAAACTTAGAAGAAATCAAATTCGTTCAAACATGTACAAAAGATTCATTAAGGATATGTAGCGTTTGAAGAGCACGAAAAAATGTTCTTTTTCTCATACATTTTTCTCACAACCTCTCCGACACAATGAATACCCACTAAAACTAACTTTATTACCGTCTATGACATCACTAAGGAAAGTCTCTTGCAATACAATTAGGTTAAAAGGTTAGGACTGTAGACGTCTTAAACTCTATTTGCATGAATTACAGAGCCTATTACAGTTTCGTTCTGTTCATTGCAGAATAGTTTAATGGAATGTTAGCGATTGATTATTCAAAAAGCAAGTTTAAAATTCAAAAACTAGGACCACAAAAATATTCATAATGACGTTGTTGTACATATGCGAAGAAGCTCAAAATAACTGTTAAAAACTTTTTTAGCTAATGCTTCTCATGTTTTGAAGGTATCATCGTTCAATAACTTTGATTGTATGTAATGGGTTTTTTCCCATTTTGCAGAAGAATGAATGAATTTATTCAAAAAGTACAAACAACGTAAAATCTTTTTTAATTAAAAGGAAGGTGGATCAGAAACAATTATACACAGTTTTCCAAAAAGATTATAAAACAATCATCCTATAACCTATCACTAAGCAATAGGTAAGGTCATTGCTGAAACTGTAGATTTAGATATGACAGTTGCCATTATGTTCTTCTTCGCAGGTTCGTATTTATTCACTTCTCGTTTGTAAACTGTTTTTCCAGTTACACATAAGTTATTTCATGGCAAGGGATCAACGTCCACACTGGATTATTAACTCTCATATCAAAGATGTTGATTTACATGGCTGTAAAACCATTGAACTTGCTCTTGAGCGCGTTCAACAAACATTAGCCACTGCTAAAAAAAACGATAATATTTCTTATAAGCTCATAGCTGGTCGTGGCACACACTCAAATGTTAATCAATACGGAAGAACATATAAAAAGTCGGGAAACTGGAAACGCGATATGAAACCGATGTTATTTGAAGCTGTTCTAAAGTGTTTAGAAAAGGTTTCGAACGAATTTCATGTTTATACGACACCATGTAATGAAAAGTCAACAGAAGTGTATGTTCGATTTAAAAGTGAAAATAATATAAAGCGAAAAGTTACAGACCAAGCGCTATTGCCACCATATATATCTGCTGACCTTCTGCCACCTGAAGTTAAATCAGACGATGAAGATGACGATTAGGCAGAATTGTATATACTGATAAAATAATATTGATTTATTTGGTGTCATATAATGTTGTATTCCTTTTCGTAGCAAAATACCTGACTTCGTGAATAAAACACACGTTCAACTAATCACATTATGATTACGCAGAAATCCGTTACGACGTCGTGGGTTCGCTTTCGACATAAAGTGGCACTGGTGTGCGATGAACATTTTAGGGTTTCTATTTAAAACTTCTATGAATTTTCGTTGGAACATTGCCTGTAGTTGGGAAACGTCTCATTTTGATCAGGAGTGTTCACTATGCCACCTAGTCGCTTTAGAGCTACTTTTTTTGTCGATTTTATATTGATAACGTAGATTTGACGGAAAGTCATTTTTTCATTGCTTCCAGGAAACTACCTGAAAACCTTGCAGAATGGTTCAATAAAAATAAATAAATAAGTTCATTCGAGATTCAATACTCTGTCAAACAGGATACTTTAGACGAAAAAGAGAGATTCCCCGAAGATCTCGTATTCTGGAAAAGCTTCTAGAGATCTCAGAAGTATGTGCAGTAGATCTTACGTGCTTATACACGTATGTTATAGTGAAATATGGATCAAAATTCATCGATTTATGGAAATTTGAGTTGATCCTTTTTGGTAAAAGATATCAGTTTTTCGGTAAAAGTGAACATCCCCGATCCTTTCATATACAGAAAAAACTAGCAGTTATACAGTGCATGTAATTTAAAACTTTAAAATCGTTCAAACATTCATCATTGTTTACAATATACAGCATATTGCTTTAAAGATCATGGCTGATGAATATACTGCAATTTCACGAATTCGAAAAGCTGCAATGGCTGTGATACCACCACCGATCAGACACAAACAAATAGAAGCCAGTATAAAGAATTGTTTATTGGTTAACCTTTCTGTGATATCTTCAAATTTGATATCAAACCTATTCATCTTTTTGAATGTCAAATCTAATTTATGCTTAACAATGCGGCCTTTGCCTTTTAAATATTGTGTCATAAATTGATCGAATCCAGCAGGATTCAGATAACAACAGCGATATCTGTGACATAACTTCGTTAATCACTGTAACATCATCTTTTGTTACTACGTCATCTTCGCACATAGCTAGATATTTTTCGAATTTTTCATTTTTGATGTCTCCCAGTGTACGAATACTTCGCTGCCGTTGTGAAGGATGCTGAGTAACGTGGTGCTGTTACTGTTGAAAGTTGTTCAAGTTACTGTGAAACGACCAAGACATCAAGAAAGTATTGAATTTTATTTTAATAGCAAGTTCTATGAAAGTATCTTTGGTTTGGTTAATATAATAGAAGTCTTGTAAAAAAGTGAAAAAATTTATAATTTTTCAAAGAAAAGTATATAATGTATAAATGTGCTTTATTTTGTCGCAGAGCAGATTTTGATTGGAGAAAAAAATGTTTTTGCTGTCGCATACATTCATCTGTTGATTGACAACGAAGATCAGTGTTTATCACTAATCAAAATAAGTATATCACTCAATTTTGTATACTATTCGATAGGAAATTAAATAAATTAAAAAATATATATGAACTTATGAGAAAATATTATGGCATCATACACTTGGATAGATAAATACTTTCGAGGATTATATATGCACACCTACATTAAATAAATGTTCGCATTGACTCTATAAAAGTTCTTTCGCAAAAGTTAAATAATATTCTTCGATACGCATAATAAAGTAACAGCAGTAATCTTCATTTTATTCTTCGATCTTTTATGCTTTTGAAAAAAATTCGAAAAACAATGAAAGTTTTGTATTTGGTCGGAAGTAAAAATCTCAAAGAAATGAAAAATTTCTTTTTCTTTTTTTCTTTCCATTCGTACATTGTGAAAATTGAGAAATTAGAATATAATATATCTGTACTACTTATTTATATATATTCTCGATATAAGCTTTATTCTATCAGAATACAAGTGGAAAACTACTTCATTATAGTATTCTAAACTAAAACTATTGAAAAACACAAGATCAATTTGTGTTCACCCAAAAAACTTTAGAATGTATGCGGCTTTACCTCCTTTACAATCTATCAAAAAAAAAAATATGCATCGTACGGGGGTACACTAACTCCTGAACTTGTTCAAATCAACACCCAAATTGTCCTTCTGATGATCTGGTTGTCCAATCTTTCCTTAGAATGGTCTTGTATGACAGAAACTGATATTTTCTAGATTAGAAATAAAGTGCCTTGTAGAGGTGCTATGTCATGAAGAAAACATCAAAGCAAACTACTATGAAAAAGAATCTCGATCCCTATAGCCTTCTGATCGATGTATGCAAAACAAATAAAATATATTTGACTAGAAGAAAGAAGTTTATCTGTAAATGGAATTTGAATCCTTCAAACGGTGTTTTTTCACGGCTGAGTGTTTACAGAAAGCCATCTAAAATAATTGTTTTGTCGAAAAGTTTGTAAGTTAATTATATTATAATTATATTATATTATTTTTGTTTGTTTTAAGTTAAAAAACTCTTAAATATACGTGAACCAAGAAGCAAAAAAAACATAAGTGCACTAAGCAAATAAATAAAAACACATTTTATGACGCTATAAAACAGACAAGTAAAGTCGATATCAGCAGTTAACATAACAAGATCATAATAACATCAGATCTTTCTGCATAGGATTTAGGCTAACAATAACTATTCGTTGATGATCGCAAAGTTCAACGTAATTTAAGAAATGTTGCTTGCTTATTATTTATATCTGTAGCTTCTGTTGTAGAATAATTCAGAAAACTGCAAAATGAATAACGGGTATGTTGGTTAATTTAATATATAACTCTAATACATAAAAAAATATCAACATGGACAATTTCTTATTTTAATTGTACAGATTTCTTCCATTATTTTAAAGACAATTACACTGGACGCCAAATTATAATTATAGTCTTCGTGTCCCTCGTTTTCCAATAAGTTTGTAGAATTACTTTTCGTCGAAATTAACTAGCGCTACAACTGCCTATATTTGTCTTTTCAAAAGATTACCGATAAGCAGTTATTTGCATCCGGTTTCAAGTATCCGGAATTTCTACTGTTGATTCCTCAATAGAATGGCCTTGGATGTCTTTCGAATAACTCGAGAACACACAGAGGTATAGAGAGTTCAGGTTTCACTATTTTGTAGAAAAGCCTTCACTTTATCTTCACATATATTTTATGTTGTAAGTCTAGGTTTTTCAGATGGTGTACGTAAAGGACCGAAAATAGATGAGTCTGCCAGATTCTGAAACTGCGGAGGATTTTTAATTATAACATGGTGGCTAGATATCCCAAATTATCCTCTACAATTGTGCGCAAAGCCGACCTCTCTATCTGTTATGGTTGCCGAATGGCAGCCATTTTTGTGGATCACCCGTAGTTGACCACCATTTCATCGGGTTCGTTTAGAGATAGATGGAAACATAGGTAATCAACCACGATGACCTTTGCGGCAATATTTGTTTTCCAAAACGGTTCTAGAAACCTAGTGAAAACGTATATTAGGTGAAATAAGATATTTTTGCCTATTTTTGGATAAAATCTGAAAAATTCATAAACCAGTCAAGGTCCATCCAAATTATGACACAATATCAAGATGTACTCTATTTTACCTGCTCAATATGATTGTTTACTTCAGAATTATAAGAAGCACCCTTGTATTTCCGAAGATTTCTAGAAACCCTTTGAAAATCAGCGTATTTTCTGTTGCTTTTATGCAAAACTTCTATTGACCATCATAGTATAATGTAGATAAAAAAATAGAGTATATTATGACATAATTTAGATGGACCTTGACTGGTTTATGAATCTTTTAATTTTATCGAAAAATATGCAAAAATGGGTTATTTCACCTAATGCGTGTTTTTGCTGAGTTTCTGCAACTGTTTTTGAAACAAATATTGCCACAATACCGAAATGTGTACTATGAAAAATTCTCGAAAATGTCGTTCGCGATAATGTCGTTGTATTGAACATAGTCCATCTCTGCTAACCGGAGATTTAGCGGTTCTCAAATCGTCCTTCAATTTTGTTAATAGACTATCCATTCCTTTGTTTTGTTTTGAAGGCTTGTGCAAGAAATTATTCAATATCAACACCTAAAACTTATTCGACTGGACGATACTAAATTGCTGTCACATTCCTCGTTCGTTCCCTCTGCTTCATGTTTGTACAAGTCATTTTTACCGACATATTTCTAATGAATGGGAAGAGGATAGTGCTAAGGTACTGGAATTATTGTGGTGAGACCACTGAAAATGGTGGCAGTGTCAAATTGGGTAGACGAATTTTATTCAAAGACATTTTTCTTTCGGATAGTTTCTCGATAATAAGATTAAAATCCATCCATTTTTATCTTTCATCTTCTTATACTCTCTTTATATATAAAGTAATGATAAGTGATGAGTATTACTTTCTTGATTACAAGAGAGGAAGGTTGTAGAACTGTTTAAACTCATCTGAAGACTCTTCCTTTTTGATCCATTTAAAATTACAGTTATTTACAAATTTAATTATAAACAGTATTACTTTCTAAGAATCTCAGAAACACGTTTTTCTGCGGATAAGGGAAACTGTCAAAAGTTGAGATCATCTAAGAATTATGAATATACATTTTGATGCATCAGCACACAAGAAAACTTCTTGTGTATTCTCATTAATCATACATTTTCTTTTCAAGTCCCGCAGAGAGACAAGTCCATTTCTTGATTATAACGATGGTATTATTATGTTGTCATCCTGAGCTAAAAAAAGGAAAAAGGAAAAAAAGCATGTACACATAGATAAGTTCCTTTCTTTTGACTTATTCACCGAAAGAAGACGAAGAATTATTCTGCCTTCGGCATTTATCTCCTTATATAAAAAAAAAAGAAACACGAAAGTCCTCAGTAGTCCGAAACTATTGAGCAACCATGTTTCCTTCAGTCACTAATCAAGTTATATTTTGTCTACTACTCGTATTTTTCGTTCCGTCCCTCTGCTGCACA